GAAGGAAGGAAGGAAGGAAGGAAGGAAGGAAGGAAGGAAGGAAGGAAGGAAGGAAGGGAAAGGGAGGCAGGGAGGCAGGGAGGCAGGGAGGCAGGAACGCAGAAAGGAAGGAAGGAAAGAAAAGAAAATTCAACATTGTTAAGACGTCAAATCTCCCCAGAATAATCTCTAGATTCAATACGACCCAAATACAAATTTCCCATCAGATGGGGTGTGTGGGAGTGGAGATGGAGGTGGAGGTGGGAGTGGGTGGGTGTAGGCATAGGTGTCTGTAGGGGGAACAGGTTGACAAGTGAAGTCTAAAATTTTCATGGAAATTCAAATAACCTAAAAAGAATCAAAAGTATCTGCAGAAAAACAATACATCTAGACCACTTACAGAATCAGGTTTCTAGATTCATTATAAAAGCAAAATAGTTAAGACAATGACAAAATCTCACTTAATTTGCAACAAATGGTCACTGCAATAAATGATGCTGGAGAAAGTGGATATCAGAATTTTAAAAATTACTCTGACCCTGCCTCACACCAAACAAACAAAACAATAATAATTAAAGGAGAGTAACAGACTTAAATATCATACCTAAAACAAAAAACTCCTAACTAGGGTACACAAAGTAGACTTAAACTTGACTTCACTATAATTCAGAACTTCTGTTCTTTGAGAGACATTATCATCAAAGTGAACAGGCAAGCCGCATGAAGGGAGAAGGATACACTACACATACATCTGACAAACGACTCATAAGCAAAATAGATACAGAACTCTGACATTCCAATAATTTTTAAAAATCTAATTTGAAAAAGGAAGGCAAGGATGAAAGTTTGAGAAGTCACTTCACAATATAAGCCATTCAAATGGTCAATAAGCTTATAAACAGAAGCTTAACATCATCATTCATCCGGGAAATGCAAATTAAACAGACATATCATCACAAGTCCACTAATATGGCTAAACGTTTTTAAAAACTGAAAATATCACATGCTGGCAGGGGTGGCATTAATGGAAACTCTCATGTATTTCTGGTGGGAGTATATATTAGTACAACCAGAGTACCCACTAAAACTAAAAATAACCTTACTACGTAATCCAATAATATCTCTCCTCAGTCTATCCGAGAGATGTATATATGTTCATAAAAAGACACAGCAATTTATTTCTAATATAAAGAAACTAAAAAGATGCATCAATAGGAAAATGGATAAACTACAGGTGAGTCAAACAATGGAGGAGCACAGAGCAATTCTGAGAAGCAAAGGACAACAGAACCTCAGGGAAGAATCTCGAAGACACGATGATGTGTGAAAAAGAAGACAAGATAGAGTACATCACTGGATTTCATTTACACAATTTAAGAACTAATCTATGACATCAGATAGGAACAGCAGTTACTTTTGGTGGCCACGGGTAGGGATGGACTGGGAAGAGGTGTGATGGGACATTCTCTATCTAGATATGGATGGTTGTTATACAATTAGATGTGTGTGTATAGAAATTGTCTTGAATTGTACACTTAAGATTTATGGATTTCACTGTACATATATATATGATATACAGATATCATATATATACAATATCTCAATTTAGAAAATCTTTTTAAAAAGGCAAAAACAAAGCCTGCTAGCCTCGGAAATAAACTGTGTTCAATGTTGTAAAACATCCAACTGATTATATAAGTTTGGATATTTTTTCTCACTTTAGAAAATTTGAGGATCTAAATGTTGATTTTCTACCCATAAATAATATCTATGTAAAGTGACCATTAAACTTAAAGAACAAACTGACAGAATCTAGGACTTTTTATATCATGCCCCTGTCAGAAAATACAAGGTCAACAAAAAACCTTTTATTTATCTGGTTCTCTCTCCACACCAAATTAAGATTTTAAAAAATACTTAAAATTCGTTATTTCTAATTTGACATTTTTTAAAATCAATTTTAGCTATTACATATCAATTCATAATCATAATGTATAAAATTAGCATGAAGGCATTTTCAACAGGCAAATGAAAATTTCAACAGACTTGTCTTCTTCCTTGTTTTATTTTAGAAAACCCATTTTGTCTTACCACTTTAAGGATTAATATCCTAAACTGAATAGAAGAAATGATTTACAGATCTCTATACAACCAGTTCCTCGCAGAACGCCTGTCATAGCAAGCTATATGGACATTTGGTAAACTGAAGTAGTACAGGAGTCCAGGTCAGGCACTTTTCTTTTTTAAAAAATGCCCTATAATGGCCCAGTCTTGGAATGACATAGCCTGGTTAGCTATCTTGGGAATGCTTTTTTTGGAGGTAGATTTTTGTTATCGTTCCCAATCTCAAGCAGCATCCTAGCACTTTAACAGAAAGTACAACAGATTCCAAAGGCAGGTAATCTATTTATTTTGTACGTATCAAAACAATTCACAATCATTGTAAATGGAAGAAAAGATCATTCCAATAGGATTAAATGATATTATTTTAAAGTCACAGTAATGAAAAAGCATTCTAAATGTACCAACCTGGATTTCTATATGACGAGGATTATCAATAAATTTTTCTATTAGTAGTCTATCATCGCCAAAACTAGAAGCAGCTTCTTGAGAAGACAATCTAAAACCATCCCTGCAAAAAAAAAAAAAGAAGAAGAAGAACTGTCAGACTAACAAAACAAACAGAGCTATCATTATAAAAGAAAACACATCAATTAAATATTTATTTTGGCTTACTTTGAACAAAGCAAAAAAAAACTTTACTCAATGTACAAATAACTAAGTTAATTTTGGTTGACCTGCAACTTTTCCACTCCCTAACTCTGTGACCATGGATGAGTTATTTAACTTCCCAGATCCTAGATTTTCCATTGAAACAGGAATGCCGATACTTTACCAACTGCTAAATATGAATTATTTTTCTTTTTTTTTTTTTTTCTTTTTGAGACGGAGTCTCGCTCTGTCGCCCAGGCTGGAGTGCAGTGGCAGGATCTCAGCTCACTGCAACCTCTGCCTGCCGGGTTCAAGCCAATCTCCCACCTCAGCCTCCCGAGTAGCTGGGACTACAGGTGTGAGCCACCTCACCCGCTTAATTTTTGTATTTTTGGTAGAGACAAGGTTTCAACATGTTGGCCAGGATGGTCTCGAACTCCTGACCTCAGGGAGTTCCCGCCTGAGCCTCACAAAGTGCTGGGATTACAGGTGTGAGCCACTGTGCCCAGCCTAAATATGGTATTTTAATCAACCATACAGAGCAAGTAAAATTAATTCCATTTCTTCAACCATAATATACCTTAATTCCACTAGTAAAAATATAAAAATACATCTGTTTGATTCAGAAGTCAGACGATGCAAAGAAAAATGTAAAGGGTTTAGTACCCGCATGACTGGAGTGGAACTACAGCAAATACACTCATTGAGACTGAACATCCAATAGGAAGATTCTCAAGAACACTGCTTAATATTTTAAATCCACATCTTGAAATGCAATTGCCTCCCACATACACCCACACAGATCATCACAATTTTATCTTCTATAAAATTGATCAAAATTAGTAATTATAAAAGTATAGTTTTTAAAAATAAAAATATTTACCTAATTATTGCTTTATATATTTTGTTCACAAACTATAATTTAAATCATTACTATTAAAATATGCCTATTATTCAAATAAAATAGGCTCATTTGACCAATGCATTAAAAACCCAAACTTGGGGGGGCACAGTGGCTTCCCTGAGGTCAGCAGTTTGAGACCAGCCTGGCCAACATGATGAAACCCCGTTTGTACTAAAAATACACAAATTAGCTGGGTGTGGTGGCCCATGCCTGTAGTCCCAGCTACTCAGGAGATCGAAGCAAGAGAATGGCCTGAACCTGGGACACACAGGTTACAGTGGGCAGAGATTATGTTACTGCACTCCAGCCTGGGTGAGAGTGAGACTCCATCTCAAAAAAAAAGGAAAAAGGAAAAAAAAAAACAAACTTGCTCGCCTAAAAGTAATTGAGCATATATTGCCTTCTATCCATTGATAAATTCCGCATATAAAATTTAATTCCTTTACATTTAATAGTTTCTTAATCTGAACATTAAATACCCATATTTAATGTACAACATTAAAACCAATTCTTCTAATCCCCTAAGTGGCAAATGGTACATCTAGTATTATTAGAAATAACTCTCCAATTTGCTTATTTTTGTGCTTTAATTCCTTTTATATTTAATAAAGTTTCTTAATCTGAAGATTAAATGTCTGCATTTAACGTACAATACTGAAACCAAATTCTTCCAGTCCTTTAAGTTGCAAATGGTCCATCTAGTAATATAAGAAACAACTATCTGATTTGCTTGTTTTGCGTTTTCTTTAATAATGTCAGCTCTACTGCTCTATTTGTTTTGTTAGTCTGACTGTTCTTCCTTTTTTTTTTTAAAGGACGGTTTTTCATCTCAAGAGCTGCTTCTAGTTTTGGTGATGAGAGACTACAAATAGAAAAATTTAATGATAATCTTCGTCATATGGTAATGCAGGTTGGTACATTTAAATGAGTTTTAATTATTACAATTTTAAAATAATATCATTTAATCCTACACTCCACCTAGTAATATTGGAACTAATTTGCAGCCAGGCACCGTGGCCCACACCTGTAATCCAAGCACTTTGGGAGGCTGAGGCGGGTGGATTACTTGAGCTCAGGAGTTCGAGACCAGTCTGGGCAACATGGTGAAACCCCGTCTCTACTAAAAAACAAAAAATTAGCCAGGCATGGCAGCATGCGCCTGTAGTCCCAGCTACTTGGGAGGCTGAGGCAGGAGAATCGCTTGAACCCAAAAGGCAGAGGTTGCAGTGAGCTGAGATCGCACCACTGCACTCCAGCCTGGGCAACAGAGCGAGACTCCATTTCAAAAAAAAAAAAAAAAGCACACACACACACAACTAATTTGCTTGTTTTTGTACAACACTGCAGGTAAAACTGATTAGAAGAAAAATTTTAAAACATTGCAAAAAAACTCTTATTTCTCAGAGGTCTCAGAGGAAAGGTATCAGTCCTCCATTACATCATTGATTTAGGGGAATAAAGTTTAGATCTCAGGAGGCTGCAAACTTCAAAGAAACTGGAAGCAAAATTAATTAGTTTTCAATACCATACAATCAACTTTTTATTAGATTGGATACAACAACAGAAAGAAAAAATATAGCACTTTACAGTTTGCCTCCACCATAATGATTGAGAGCTTTCATTTTGCATTTAAACCCACACCACCCCAAGTAAAAAGTCAAAGTCACCAAAATAAAATAAACAGCAAGTTTGAAAGCATCGCCAATAACATATTTTAGAACTCATGGGAAACTCTATTATGAATATCATTTGTGACATTCAATTATACATTCATTCAGTAAGTATTTACTGAACTTTGTGCCTGGATATATTTCAGATGCTAGGAATACAAAAATAAAAGAGAAATTGCACTCACAATGCCAAAAGTCTTAGTAAGGATATTCAAAAATATAGACACAATTTCTCAATCATGTGATACACTTCATTTAAACTTGAACAGGGAAAACAAAGTCAGAGACTACTATGAATATATCTAAGTGAACCTTCAACAATCTTCATAATTCTCATCCAAATTTACTATATAATAATTACAGGTTGGGCGCAGTGGTGCATGCCTGTAATCCCAGCACCTTGGGAGGCCAAGGTGGGCAGATCACGAGGTCAAGAGATCGAGACCATTCTGACCAACACGGTGAAACCCCCATCTCTACTAAAAATATAAAAATTAGCTGGGTGTGGTGGCGTGCACCTGTAGTCCCAGCTACTCAAGAGACTGAGGCAGGAGAATCGCTTGAACCCAGGGGGCGGAGATGGCAGTGAGCCAAGATCGTGCCACTTCACTCCAGCCTGGGTGACAGAGCAAGACTCTGTCACAAAAAAAAAAAAAAAAAATTACAGTTTTTAAAAAATCTTTCAGATGTCCTACAGATTCTAAGACAAGTCATAGATGCTACTTCCCCCCCCAAAATAATAGGAAAGATGTTACAAGAAAAAGACAGCCCTTAGGATAAAGGAATAAAGCAATTAAGCACTAAATTTTCCTTTGTACCTGAAAAATAAAATATTTGTGGATTATGTAAAAAGCAATTACTTTCTCTAGAGGGAGAGAGGAAAAGAAGGGGTGGATAAGTTGTGGCATGGTGTCCACGGTTAGTGGCTCCAAAAGACAAGCATAGGCATGTTTGCAGTACTGTTCTTTCCCTTTTCAGGTAGTTTTGACTTTCCAAAATAAATAAGGGTTATAGAGCAACTTTTTAAAATGAGGAGCTTGTACTACTAAATCTAATAGTTGCGCCTGTGCGATCTCAAGTTTTCTGAGATAGTTTATTTATCAAGTTGAAGACAGTAATATTTTAAGTAGAAAATTATTCATGGATTTTTATTAATTTTATAAACATATTTTGAATCAATGTGCTATTTACTGGCCAAGAAAGAGCTAAATTATTTACACAATGATGCCTAATATATGAATGGATATGGTGATTTCTCAAAATATTAAGCTCTTAAATTAAAATTTATAAATCAACAGCAGCACAGCAAACCTCACTTCCAGGAAACTATAAAGAGTAATCTGCACCATAAAAGAGTATATTACTAACAGTAGCCCTGGGGAAATGACTAATAAGAAACCTGAGATCCTAAGATGAATAATGAAAAATAAGCGCTAAGCATTCAGTGAAATTGCTATGTAAGTACTGTGCAAAACAGAAAAACAATGAGAAAAAAATTTGAAGTCCACAAAATACACACTTCTTGCAAAACCATTGTGTTTGACTTCTTTATGATACCATTCTTTCCCACAAAATGGGCTGTGGCAGATTGTCTTTTCCAAAGATGGCCACAACAGTATCTCCCATTCCATGTGCTCTTCTAAGAATCTCGCCCACTCTCCCATGAAGACGTGGAGACTCAGTCCCCTCCCCTTGAATCTGAGTAGAAGCTGTGTTCACTGGAGGGAAACCTGTGTAACTTCTGAGACTGGGTCATAAAAAGTATTCTAAATTACAGTAAGAGTGCATTCCATATAAAGGACACAGTAATTTCAAACTCAAGGAAAAAGAATATATTTCACACTCTAAAATTATCAAGGTAATTCACTACTTTTATGCACTAGCAAAGGAAAGCAAGTACATACTGAGGTAATACATTAAGTCTCAATGAAATTATAACTGCTTTTAAATATAGTTGGTTTAAATCTTTAGATGACATTTAGAATTATATAGCCAAATCTTAGTAATTTCTGCCCAGAAAATAGAATCATGACTGCAATTTTTAAAAATATACTGTAAAAACAAAAAGAAAATCCTTTGTTAATGTTTAAAATAGTAAAACCCTTTCTATAATAAGATAATCATCATCAAAATATAAATAAGGAAGGTTTCCACATAATTTCAATCTTTTTCCCCATTCAAAAGTGTAAAAATTAGATGGTTACTGTAATTACTCCATTATGCTTTTGGTATCTGTTTACCTGTCAGTCTAATAAAACTCTAGTAACTGCAGTTTTCATCAAAAGTATATTTTGGACAGCCTCTCACCTGGTCTCTTCATCATCCCAAGCGATGCGCATGCCTTTCCCACCACCACCTGCTGAGGCCTTGATCATGACAGGGTAGCCTAACAGCAGGGAAGAATTAGACAGAAGTTCAGACTTTGATCATAGGGATGTATGAACATGACAACTGACCACATGTTCAATAACGCAGAAGACAATAATTAATTTATTTAAAAGTTCCTTTCTTTAGAGTCAGGAAAATAATACCAATGTAATAATGTATTTAAAAAATGAGAGTGTGACCATTATAAAAGAAAAAAGGGTACTTCTACCAATAAACATAATATTTTCCCCAGTAATAAAAGCTAAGAAAACATACATAAATTAACAGTGGAGTCCAAAAACAGAAGTACAGTATTAAGCAACCAAAGAGATAAGAAGCAACTTATATAGCACCAACAAACATGTCCAAAACTGAGGTTTGCATGCATAACAAACTAAATTCCCTTTTTTCAAAAATGGCGATTTTCAAGTACTTCAGGTATTTTCATCTGAAGAGTCACAGAGAACCCCTACAGCTTTTATCAGCAAGAACTGACATGATGGTATTGGGGAAAACCCAAACATGGCTATGATACTATGGGCTGGAGCAGAAGCTCCAGGATTCACTGGTATCAATGGAGAAGCTATTCCACTGTTCCATACATTCAACAGGGTGTTATGAAAATACAAAGGTCCAAACAAAGGACATTTCCAGCTAAAGTTTTAAACTCATAAAATTGTCATCAGTTACATGATTAAGTATTTAGTTATTATACAGTAAAATTTTTGACAGCAAGAGTCATTTATAACGATTTATCAAGAAAAGTGTAAACGTCCCCTTTAGATGTTTTCTAAAAACAAGGTGGAGATACTCCTATGTTTGGGACCATTTGTTTATGATCTTTTCTAAAGAAAAAAGAGCTCAGTGAGCCTTATCGATCCTTCCTGGCCTGTGATGCTCTAACGGCACTCAACTCAAGCTATAGGATCCTTAGAGGCAAAGGGAAGCAAAAGCCAAACGTCACAGACCTTTTGCACCCCAAACCACAAAACATCACTCTTAACTTCAACTTCGTTAAAATGGCACCTGCTTCCTAAGTGTTTTACAATTAATTTAATTTAAAATTTTTATATGTTCATGATGTTTATATGGGCTGGTATTTTTGAAACAATGTTCAGTGCACTGAGAAGAAAGATAATATGCTCTTACATTGGGAGCCTTCGAATCCAGGAAGAGAGAGGCAAAGGACCCAAATAATTCTATCACTGGCTATTCAAAACAGAAAGGATCATAGAGAGTAGACAGAAAAATAATTAAGAAAAGTGTATTATCAGAAGGGCCATCTAGGCTGGGCACAGTGGCTCATGTCTGTAATCCCAGCACTTTGAGAGGCTGAGGAGGGCGAATCACAAGATCAGGAGATTAAGACCATCCTGGCTAACATGGTGAAACCCCATCTCTACTAAAAATACAAAACTTAGCTGGGTGTGGTGGTGTGCATCTGCAGTCCCAGTTACTCAGGAGGCTGAGGCAGGAGAATCGCTCGAACCTGGGAGGCAGAGATTGCAGTGAGCCAAGATTGCGCCATTGCACTCCAGCCTGGCGACAGAGCGAGACTCCATTTCCAAAAAAAGAAAACAAAGAAAGGGCTATATAAATGATGCTAAGAAGAATGAGCAGGACTTGAACATTTCAGGCAGGAATAGTGGGGAAAACAGAGGTGGAGATTATAGGACAAGTTTAAGGAATGAATAAAACAATTCAGTTGAAGTACAGAGTTATCTGCAGGATGGTAGGGGAAAGAAAACACAATTTTGAAAACATAGATGGGTACAAAGTATGGAAGATTGTGCACGCTTTGATTCTTGATTCTGCATGAGATTATGCATGAGTTTTAATCCTGCATGAGAGAGGCAAGAATGGTATTTGTCTCATTCACAATAATAAGCATAAAATAATCAGAATGAAATCAGTAGAGAAGAATTAGCCTGTTTTAGGGGAGTGAAAAGGCCCAATCTAAAAATTTGAAACTGGTATACCTGCAAAATCCTGTTTACAACAACTTAATAGATCCTTACCCCCATCCTCTCAAAACAATATTTTATCAATGTATCATCACAAACCATTTATCCATGTAACAGGAAACCACTAGAGCTGAGAGATAGCCCACATCTCCACTACATTCAGTTCCCTCTGAGGATTTAGGAAATTTGCAGTTCTTCTGGTTCCAGTTACTAATCTTATTTTAGTCATTTACTGTGGACCCTGGACTACACAGTGATTTCTGAATTTTGATTTGTGAATTTGTGAAGGCCTCCCTAGCCATGTGGAACTGTGAGCCCATTAAACCTCTTTTTCTTTATACACTACCCAGTCTCAGGTATGTATTAGCAGTGTGAGAACAGACTAATACACCTCCTTAAAAGGAGGTGAATGTCCCAGTAGAAGAGATTGCTTTAAAAAAAAACAAAAATCAAGCCCTAGTGCTCTTCCCAAGTTTTTCCTCACCTTCCAGGTCCTCTCATTGGATGCTTACTGCTACTACCTTATCTCACCCCAGACACAGAAGTGACTCCCCTACTGACACTGCACCTCCAACACAGAGATAGTCTCCACTCCTTATTCCCTTCTGCACAGTAAAAGAGGCACTAACACTTCCGAAAAGAAATTTACTAAGTACTATATGAGAAAATACATGAAGAAAATACAGAAACTTAGGTTAGCAAAGTACTACAAAGTTTCCATTCCTACTTTTCTGGACTCAGTTTTCAAGGGCAGGTTTAAGTGCAGGAGAAGATATCTTCTCTGGGTCCCTCACCTCCCAGCTACCAGTGTATCTTACTTTCTACCACAAAGCAAGCAGTCTTCTTTCTAACTCTACTATCAAATTTGTATTCATCAGCTTAAAAAATGTTTACTGAATATACACTATCAGACTTATCTGGCTCTCTGCAGGCTACGAAGACCAGCAATTCAGAAAACTCCCTGCTATCTAGCAGACAATGATATACAAACATACATGCATCTAAATATATGTGTGACTCAGGTGGAGTGGCTCACACCTCTAATTCCGGCTACTTGGGAGGCTGAACTGAAGGGACCGCTTGGGTCCAGGAAGTCAAGGCTGCCGTATTTATGTATGTATGTACATATATTAATATAAATAATAAGTGAATGTATGTCTTATATACAATGTAAGATAGTGATGACTGCTACAATAAAACAACACGGAGGGAATAAATGTAACTGAGTGATAGGGTTACTGCTCTTTGAAAATGTTTCTCTGAGAAAACTGGTATTTAAACTGAGAACCTAATGACGAGATAGAGAGAGCACTCTGAAAATCAATGAGGGGGGATGAGTCCAGACAGAAGGAACAAGTTGGAAGGTGTGATACAGGAAAGGGAAGTACCTAATACAGCATTTTAAAAGATCACTTTGGCTGCTGTGCAATGAATGAATTGTGAAACAGCAAAGGTAGAAAATAGGAGCTGATGAGGAAGCCTTTGCAGCAGTCCAGCTAGCAACAGAGATAGAGAGAAAGACAAAGAGTAGAGTTAGCGACAGTTTGGATGTGGAAGATAAGGGGATGAATGAAGGAAGATTCTAGGCGCTTAGGAGATCTTCCATTTAGTTATGGATTCCAGGTTAAAAAGAATTATCTTTTTTGACCAACTGATAATGTCATGTTTACCTACTCAAGACATGATAAATAACCTTACTTTTCAAGCAAAATCCATGCCACACATGATAGCACAACCTGGTAACTTAAAAGCTGATAAAGTGACGCCCTATTGATGTAACAGGGGCAAGCTGTATAATAAAGAATCTTATGTGGTTTTCTCGCCTACAGTTTCTTGAACTAAAATTTCATAGAATATACTTATGGGAAAGGAAAAATAAAAAGAAGGGAAAAGAAAAGTATTTCTTAGGAAATGTCTTATTCCTAATATAGCAGTACTAATCAGAAATCTCTCATGGATCATAGAGAAGATGTGATGGGGAGTGGGGGTCTTCTTTAAAACCAATCGCAAAACACCTATAATTAACAGCAAGGCCTTTGTTTCCTCAAAGAAAGATCCAAGGTAAAAAGAAAACAGAAGATATTTCAGGAAGTAGAACAGTCCTCTAGATGGATAGAATAGGTCCTGATATGGGTTATAGGACCTCAGAAGAGAAAAGACCCCCCCACTTCAAGAAGGAACTCGGACAGAAAGGAAAGAAATCCCCAGATGAAAGCTGCACATGAGAATTACATAGAAATCAAATAGTACGCGTTGCTTTGTTTCGTTTCTTTATGCTTCTCTAATGTAAACTAGTTCACTTGCCTTTTGGATCCCCTCAGCCTCCCTAAAAGGGAAGGTGTGGGTTTGTGTTTGTTGTTTTGTGCTGATGGTGGGGGGTGCTCTTCATGACCATGGTATTTTTTAAGAATCCAGGGTGGCTGTTTGATAGAATATTCCACAGTTTGAATATACCTGATTATTCACTCATTAAATTCAAGATTTTTAAGAAATCTTAAATACAACATAGTTGATATTGTATCCTCGAGTTCTTCCATCACATCAAAAGTAAAATAAAAAGTCAATTTATCCCAAACTGATAAAGTTTGATTACTTAAGATGGCATCCATTAAATTTCCTCACAGAAAGTACACCATTTTTTTCTTAGCAAATAATCTGACATTGACACATTGAAACTGTGATGATCCTATATCCAAACAATTTTCACCCATTATTAAAAATGAACATTAATGATTCCTGCTTTAATCAATATCTACATTGTTCACTGCACGATGATTAAAAAAACATAAAGACAAAGATCTTTGCCTGTCTTCTTTGTTGTTTCTGCAGTGGCTGAAACTGCCTGAAGAATAACATGCAAAGTAACAGTTACTAAGTAAATGTATTAGTTAATAATCTGAGCAGCTGTAAGTCATTATTTTTACTACTGTAATCTATTTCACCTATGAACATACTGCAGCATTATGCATTCCACTGTGAATGGACATTCAGACTCTATCCTGTTCTATTTATATAACAATGGTCCTTTGAATATTTTTGTACTTGTCTGGAACTT